GTGTACTTTGGATATGGGTCCCATGAATGGGCCCCTTGAGTGAACAAGACAAAATGGAGAAGCAAACAGTCAATGAAAGATCATCTCACCTAACTGATGATTTTATGGTTCTAGTCCTGGACCTAGCAACTTGAAAAACACACCTGGGCACATGTGCATGTGTGCCCCAAATCCCAAGGTGAACAAAGGGATTGCAGGGCGGGGGGGGTGTGATCTCTTGCCAACACTGCCCCCCCATGAACCATACACAGTATAGCAAGAACCTGAAAGAAGGGGGGAGAAAGAAAACCAAAATCTCTGCACTGGTTAGTCAGTTCTTTTAAAAATGTATTTTTCCCAGAGTATGTGCCTGTCCTGCAAGAGACAGCGGGAGAATGTGTGGTCACTCTGCAATCTCCTCTCCATTTCTCCATCCTGTTTTTCATGCTGCCAGGCTGGGATTTGAGCCCTGGTCAGTTATCATTATTAATTTTAAAGACAGGATCTTGCTGTGTTGTACCCACATGCCTCATCCTCCAGTTTAGTCCCAGCTAGGATTATAGATGTTTGCTACTGTGCCCAGCTAAATTTTTTTTATTCTTTTTTTAGGTTTTTGTCATAGGGCACATACACGTGCTAGAAAGAGACAGGGTAAATGAGAAATCATCCCCAAGAGGGGCCAGCAGTTGGCGTAATGGCTATGTTGCTGGACTCTCATGTAGTTGACTGCAGTTCGAGTCCTGGACCTGGTGGCTTAAACTCACACCCTGCGTGAGTTTGTGTGTCCAGGCGTGAGTGCGTGCGTGCCCAAGATGCCAAGAGAAGAATGGAGAATGGATTGCGGTGTGGTCATTCTCCCTGGGGGATGATTTCTTGCTTCCTCTCTTTGTCTCTGTCCCTCTGGCGAACTCACATGCCCTATAGCAAAAAACTTCTCCAAAAAAAAAAAAAGGAAGAAATCATCCCTAAGGGAGGATGGCTATGCTACAATCCTTTCTCCTCTTGAGATTTTGGGCACACATGCATGTACACGTGCACGGGATGATTTTTCAAGCCGCCAGGTCTTGGACTTGAACTGTGATAGGCTATGTGGGGAGTCCAGTGCCTCAACCACTATGCCACTGTAGCATTTCTATGAAAAATCTAAACCTTTTGGTAACTTTATTTCATTAGTAAGCTATATGGATTGATTCACTGTAACAGTCTTTCTTTGTACTTTACATTTATGAAATAAAGATCCTTTTAAAGCATTCCAAGGGGAGATTGTCAGGAAGTATAATTTTCTTTTCTTTCTTTCTTTTTCTTTTCTTTTTTTTTTTTAAGAGAGGTTTTTGCTATAGGGCGTGTGCGCTTGCTAGAAAGGCAGACAGAGACAGGAAGTGAGAAATCACTCCCCAGGGGCCATGGCCATGCTGCAGTCCTTTCTCTTCCATTCTTCTCTAGGGATTTTGGGCACGCACACACATATGCCTGGTGTGAGTTCAAGCCACTGGGTCTGGAACGCGAACTGCTGTCGACTACATGGGAATCCAGCAACATAGCCATTCTGCCAACCACTAGTTCCAGATTTTCTTCAGCTTTAGAAATACATATTGAATATTGGATGAACAGATTTTTTTTTTAAGATAAGTATCTTTAAATATTACAGAATATTCAGAACTTGTCAAATGCTGATGATAAATATGAAGAGTAGGTGGTCATTCACTCTGTGCAGAGACCCATGGAGAGATGGTCATATGTGTGGACATTGTCTGACTCTAACCTGGAGAAGAAGCTCTGTGGAAATGGTGGGGGTGGCCAAAGCATCTTTTGCTTGGACCACTCCATGTGCCTTGGGTTTCCCACTCTCCTTCCTCTGGGAGATGAGCAAGCACTTTACATAACTTAGAATGCTTCACGTCACAGAGTGGTTCCAAAGCTAATGCAGCCTAAGACTTGAGTCAGATTGCAGAGAACCACAGTGAGCACTGGCCTGTTTCAAAGGCTGTTGCTCACGTGCACATGCTCTTTACAGAGTAGCCGCAGGTGCACCTTGCCTGGCCTCGTAGTGCTGCGAACCCTTCCTCCAGTCCCCCAGCCTGTTGACTCTGGGCACTTGTACATGGGTCTGGCGTACTTTAGGCTGCCCAGGCCTCTGGTTTGAATCTCGATTGTCACGTGGGACCCAGCTTCTCTTGAGAAGCACATTACCGTGGGCCATAGGGAGCTCTTTTGGGTTCTTCTGAATATTTGACAAGGGAAATTTTAAAAACTAAACTTGAGCTTGATTCTTCACTAACTGCCTCCTGGGTTTTTTGCTCTGGTTAGTTTGGCTGCTTCCATTAATCCAATCTTTTTTGCGGGGGGGAGAGGTTTTTGCTATAGGGCACATGCGCTCATCAGAAAGACAGAGAGACAGAGAGATAGAAAGCAAGAAATCACCCCCCCAGGGGGGATGGCCACACTACAATCCTTTCTCCATTCTCCTCTCAGGATCTTGGGCACGTACACACATGCGCCTGTCGTCTGTTTAAGCAACCGGGTCCAGGACTTGAACTGCGCTTGGCTACATGGGAGTTCAGCGACATAGTTATTACACTAACTGCTGGTCCCCATTAATCCAGTCTTAATTTAATTGAAGTTCTTTTCTAGGTGATGTGTGTGCTTAGCTTTGAATGGGTATTTAATGAAAATACTTTGGGCCAGCCAGTGGTGTGATGGTTAAGGTGGCAGGATTCCACATGTCCTACTGTGAGGCTCCGGTCCTGACTGGTGGCTTGGAGAACACTTGGGGGCATGCATGTGTACATGTCTAAAAACTCAAGAATAGAAGGAGTTGGGGTGTGGCCCTGCCTAGGGGATGCTTGCTTTCTTTCACACTCATTACCTGCCCCATCCAGGGTCTGTGCCCTATAGCACATTTGAAACAAAACCTTTGTACTATTGTCTGACACTGGGATTAGGGTAAAAATATTTAGATACGCACACATGTAATACAGTACATATTACATTGCTTTCATTCTACTCTATTCCAGGAATAGCCTCAGTTTATTCTTAGATTGATACATTGGAAGTACAAAACCCATATGCTTTGGTGGGAGTGGAGTTTTATTTTTAAATGATGCCCATAAAAGAAGTCTATTGTGATATTCCAGGTCCTTATTTTAAATGTAAAATTACATTACATTGGGTTGTCGAGACAGTCATGACGCATTTTTGCGTGGAAAACATAGAGGGGCCAGCAGACGGTGTAGCAGTTACATTGCTGGACTCCCACATGAGCGGCTGCAGTACAAGTCCTGGACCTGGTGTCCTGAAACTCATGCCCTGCGTGTGCTTGTGTGTGCCCAAGATCCTGGGGGAGAACGGAGAAAGGATTGCAGCATGATTGTTCCTCTTGGGTGGTGATTTCTTACTTCCCCTTTTGCTGTCTCTCCTGGCAGTGAGCGCACATACCCTAAGGCAAAAACCTCTTAAAAAAAGACCCTGTTGAGGATGCTGTCTCTCTCTGTCTGTGTCTCACTTATGAAATAAATAAACTTAAAAATATATATATAGAGAAACATATGCCGTAACTTTCCTGACAACCTAATAGAAACATTTGGAAAGAAGAGGGAAAAAAAATGTTCCCAAGGCCATAGGTGCTATTAGCATTTTGGGGTATCCCCTCCTCATGTTTGTACTTATTTCAGGTAAACACGGATGCTGTAGAGAAGATTGTATCTTGCACTGTTTTCAACATCTCTGCCTAAGGGCTCTCATGGCAGGGCAGTGCCATGGAACAACGGTGTTAGGTACCAAGGTTGCAGAGACTGGTTTCCTTTGCTCCCGGTTCATCCTCAGAACCCACACTGCTGCAGCATCCTTTGTTTGGGTTATTCCAGTTTTGTTACCTGTAGGTTAATTCCATTTGTTCAGAACTCACTAGCTTCTAACTATGATGAGAACTAACCTGTTGTTGAGTTGGACTTGGGATGAGGTATCACTGACATGTCTTACTGATAATGGCTGTTTATCAATATTGTGTAAATTTCATCACTCAGTCAGTAACTGTTGACATGTGTATTGATCCATAACTTAACGTTTAAATCTTAAGTTTTATGAAGACACATGTTTGGGACCAGCAGATGACGTAATGGTTATGTTGCCGGACTCCCATGTAGTCGACTGCAGTTTGAGTCCTGGACACAGCACCTTAAAACTCACGCCACGCTCGTATGTGAGTGCCTAAAATCCTAAGGAGAATGGAGAAGGGATTGCAACATGGCCATCCTCCTGGGGGATGATTTTTCACTTTCTGTCTCACTGAGGAGTGCATGTGCCCTGTAGCAAAATCTCTGTTGGGGACCAACAGGTGGCGTGGTGGTTAAGGTGCTTGACACTGCCAAAGGGCCAGCCACGGTTCAAGTCCCGGACCTGGCAGCCTCCTTTGTCTCTCTCTCTCTCTATCTCTGTCTCTCTCTCTCTCTCTGGTCAAATTAAAATAAATGAATGAATAAATAAAATTAAAAAATAATTTTTAAAAAGATCTCTCTTAAACTAAAACCAAACAAAAAAACTCACAAAACTATCTTCATCAAAAAAATAAAATTCACGTTTTAGGGACACGCCGTTAGCGTAATGGCTATGTCGCTGGACTCCCCCGTAGTCGACCGGGTTCGAGTCCCGGACCCGGCGGCTTAAACTCACGCCGGGCGCGTGTGCGCCCAAGATCCCAAGAAGAGAATGGAGGAGAAGGGAGTGCGGCGTGGCCATCCCCCCCTGGGGGGGGCTTTCTCGCTTTCTGTCTCTCTCTCTCTCTCTCTCTGTCTGGCGAGCGCTCGCGCCCTATAGCAAAAACCTCTCAAAAAAAAAAAAAAAAGAAAAAGTTTTAGAATTTTTTTCTTTTAACTTTAATACACTTGAGGACATGGTATCATGATTATTGTCCTAATCAATATATTGGCTAGGATTTCCCCTCACAAATATATATTTAAAGGGGAATAAAAACTGTCTAATATTTATTAAAAGTGGTTTAATGTTGTCGTCTTTCATTTTTGAAGATCTGACTGCAGCCATGAGCAGCAATGAGTGCTTCAAGTGTGGACGCTCTGGCCACTGGGCCCGGGAGTGCCCTACAGGTGGAGGTCGTGGCCGTGGGATGAGGAGCCGTGGCAGAGGTGGTTTTACCTCAGATAGAGGTATTCTTGTCGAATACAAAATTTTGAAGTACTTCAGTATTTGTTAATGTCAAGATGGTCTAACTTGCCCAACTCTTTTTGCTTGTGCTCACAATAGGTTTCCAGTTTGTTTCCTCATCTCTTCCAGACATCTGTTACCGCTGTGGTGAGTCTGGTCATCTTGCCAAGGATTGTGATCTTCAGGAGGATGGTAAGTATTTAACCTTTCCTTTTTGTGCCCTTCTAGAACTCAGAGAACTGAGCATGAGCACCTAGAGGAGTGTTGGAAAGGATTTTCCCCCTTGAGGTTTTGTGTTGTGCACTTTGAACCCTGGGTGTGCACTGTTTGGGTTTTATAGTCTTGGTCTGCTTTTTTTCTTATTGCTGAAGCCTGCTATAACTGCGGTAGAGGTGGCCACATCGCCAAGGACTGCAAGGAGCCCAAGAGAGAGCGAGAGCAGTGCTGCTACAACTGTGGCAAACCAGGCCACCTGGCTCGCGACTGCGACCACGCGGATGAGCAGAAGTGCTATTCTTGTGGAGAATTTGGACATATTCAAAAAGACTGCACCAAAGTGAAGTGCTATAGGTGAGTGTCAAGAAACTGCTGGAGGAAAACTCACTGCACAGTTCTAGTAGTGAATCTTCTTTCAGTGGAAGGGCCTTGTGGGGCAGCTCATTCAGTGGGAGTTATCTGTCACCAAATGAGACCAATTTGGGCACATGTAGCCAGTAGTCCATCTATTCTGCTGTTGGTCTGGGTCATGACACCGATCAGTACACAGCTGTAGTTTCTTCAATAGTTTTATGAGCAAGTAGCTGAAGCTGTGAGCTAGTGGTAGAGGGAGCTGGATTTCCCCATGGCCGACCACAGCTCACATCGAGACCCTGGCAGCTTGAAAGCCATGCCGGTCGTGTGCGTGTAGCATGTGCCTAAAGTCCCAACAGTATGGAGAGATGCAGGAGGAGGCATCGTCGTGTGATCGCACTCGATTATAGTGTGCTTTCTCCCTCTGTCTGTCTCTGGTGAGTACATGTGCCCTCTGGCAAACTAAAAAGTATACAAGAAAATAAGAGTTAAAAAGCGAAGCTTCCAGAGACTTGGTAGAAAGTTGTACAATTTGTGGATAGTGCAGGCATTAGTGACCGACTGACTCACCATGCTGTTGGACATCTACATTTAACTTTGATTCACCAAAACCTAATTACCGATAGCCTACTGTTGATCCAAAGCCTTACCAATGAGTCAGTTAATGCATATTTTGTTTGTTATAACACATGTTTTTTTTTTAATTATTTATTTAATTTTATTCATTCATTTTAATTTGACCAGAGAGAGAGAGACAGAGAGACAGAGAGAGAGAGAGGAAGAAAGATGTAAAGCGAGACAGCAAGCCACCAGGTCCGGGACTCAACTGTGGTTGGCCATGTGGGAGTGTCCAGCACCTTAATCACTATGCCACCTGCTGGTCCCAACACTTATGTTCTTATAATAGAGAAAGTTAGGTAAGTGAAATGTTACTGAAAACAATAAGGAAGAGGAAATAAGTTTTTAGTATTGAGAAAAATCCGTGTGTAAGTGAACCTGCATGGTTTATACCTATTGTTTTTTCAAGGGTCAAGAGTACATAAATTTTCTGGGGCTGGCAGTTGGGGTGGTGGTTGAGGGCACTAGACTTCCATGTAGCTGCCCATGGTTTGAGTCCCAGACCTGGCAGCTGGCTTTCTCACTTCCTCCCTCCCTCTCTCTGTCCTTCTCTCTGGTCAACATTAAAAATAAATTAATAAATAAAGTTAAATAAAAAATTTAAGAGTACAGAAATCTTTTGTAATGTATCCAGAAATCTTTGTCTGTTTGCCATTGTGACAGTAAACTGTGTGTAACGTTTATCACGTACAGTTTGACACGTTTTGGTGTCTGTATAGTTGTAAAGCATTAAGGATCAAATTGATAGATAGATCTTCTTGGCCACTGTTTTGAGTTTTTTTGCCCCCCCCCCCCTTTTTTTTTTTTTTAGAGGTTTTTGCCATAGGGCGCCTGCATTCCTCAGCGAGAGAGAGTGAAAGGAAAGTGAGAAATCATCCCCCCTTCCACCAAGACCACTCCTCAATCCCTTCTCCATTCTCTTCCTGGGATTTTGGGCATGTACACACACTCGCCTGGCGTGATTTTCAAGCCACTTGGTCCAGGACTCGTACTGGTTGGCCATGTGGGAGTCCAGCAATGTAACTGGTATGCTGGCCCCTTTGTCCCACATTTTAAGTTGATAGTTTAGGTTGTACAGTTGACCAGCCGTTACTAATTTATTCCTTCCTGCCCCTAGTTTATTAAAAAGACTGATGATCATAAGAAAAATGACCTGTTCTGTATTGACCACTGCTTCGTTAGAACATTTCGCTGGTCTGAACACTATTGTGAAAACTATCGGTGCTTCTTTTCTAGGTGTGGCGAGACTGGTCATGTAGCCATCAACTGCAGCAAGACGAGTGAAGTCAACTGTTACCGCTGTGGCGAGTCGGGGCACCTGGCACGGGAATGCACGATCGAGGCTACAGCCTAATTCTTTTCCTTTGTCGCCCCTCCTTTTTCTGGTTGATGGTTGTATTATTTTCTCTGAATCCTCTTCACTGGCCAAAGGTTGGCAGATAGAGGCTACTCCCAGGCCAGTGAGCTTTACTTGCCGTGTAAAAGGAGGAAAGGGGTGGAAAAAACCGACTTTCTGCATTTAACTACAAAAAAAGTTTATGTTTAGTTTGGTAGAGGTGTTATGTATAATGCTTTGTTAAAGAACCCCCTTTCCACGCCACTGGTGAATAGGGATTGATGAATGGGAAGAGTTGAGTCAGACCAGTAAACCCATTATGGGGTTCTTGAATATGTTCCCATGTAGGAGGTAAAACCAATTCTGGAAGTGTCTATGAACTTCCATAAATAACTTTAATTTTAGCATAATGATGGCCTTGGATTGTCTGACCTCAGTAGCTATTAAATAACATCAAGTAACATCTGTATCAGGCCCTACATAGAACATACAGTTGAGTGGGAGTAAACAAAATAAAAAGACAAACGTGCGTGTTCATGGCTGTGCGAGAGAAATCGGGATAAAAGCCTAAAGCAGAAACAGCTTCACCCCAGCGTTGATGCTGGACATGTAGGTGGTGATGGCAAAGGTTCAGAACACATTTTTTCAAAGACGAAATCTAAAACGCAGTGTAACATCGATGCTCAGAGTTAGCAAAATTTGGAGCTATTCAGGAATTGCAGAGAATTGCATTTTCACAGAAATCAAGATGTTATTTTTGTATACTATATCACTTAGACAACTGTGTTTCATTTGCTGTAATCAGTTTTTAAAAGTCAGATGGAAAAAGCAACTGAAGTCCTAGAAAATAGAAATGTAATTTTAAACTATTCCAATAAAGCTGGAGGAGGAAGGGGAGTTTGACTAAAGTTCTTTTTGTTTGTTTCAAATTCAATTCAGATTAATGTAAATAGTGGACAGAGGGACCTGTGGAGGAGTGAAAGCTGACAGTTGGAACTTCTTTTTGTACTAATTAAATCATGAGTTTGGAAGTGAAAGATGACTTGTTAAGTATGGAAGCATGAATAAGGTGTGTAGTTCCGGTGTCAGTTGTCTTAGTAGGGCTGTAGAAACTTACGATCGATTATAATGATGCCCTAGTTCTGTGTCATTCCAGTTTTCTCTCTCTCTCTCTCTCTTTTTTTTTTTTTTTTTTTTAAAGCAAAAGCAAAGGGTTACTTGCCAAGTAAAAGCAAGAGTGCACTCCCAAGGGACCAGCAGTTAGCGTAATGGCTATGTCGCTGGACTCCCACGTAGTCGACCATGGTTCACGTCCCGGACCTGGTGGCTTAAAACTCACGCCGGGCGCATGTGCGTGCTTGCCCAAGATCCCGAGAGCAGTATGGAGGAAAAGGGACTGCGGCGTGGCCATCCCTGCGGGGGGGTGATTTCTCGCTTTCTGTCCCTCTGTCTCTCTCTGTCTGGCGCGCGCACGCACCCTATAGCAAAAACCTCCTCCCCCCCACCCCAAAAAAAGAGTGCACTCCCAAGAGGTAGGAGCAGGCCTGAGCAGGAGAGAGAGTGGCTCAAGGGCCCTAGTCATTAATTAGGTTGATAATTTTTTAACTGGGGTCGTGGCATTTGATCATTGGCTGGGCCCACTACTTGGTCTCATCTCATTTGGCTGTGTCAAATACAGTTTTAGTTTTCAATTGATTTGCCAGATTTGCCATAGGTCTGGTGCCAGAGAGGGAGTGTCATGACCTCATCACAGTATTTTCTGTATTCTCTCAGGTGCACACATCTGGCATGTTTTTCAAGCCCTTGGATCTGGGACTTCACCTGTGCATCTAGCAGCATGGGATCTAGTGTCTTAACCACCATATTACCAGCCCAAGAAAAGATTTTTAATGCTAGATTTTTTTTTCACCCTAATTAATGTATGAGTAGTCTTCAAGAAGTTTGTGGAAATGTGTATTATGAAAATCCTGCATGGATTTCAAAATCGTTTTGCTTCATTAACTTTTCTGTAAACTTTTGAAGTCCCCTTGTTATATTATGCCAGACATGCCAAGGGTGGGGGCTGCATCACGCTAGTAGTGGTCAGGGGAGCCAGAACTCCATGGCTGAACATAGTTTGAATCCAGGCTTCAGTGAATTGAAACCACATACTAGGTACACGGGTGGGCCCAGAGCCGGAAGAGGATGAAGAAATGGGGACATTACAAGGTGACCACACTGCATGCTGAGCAGGAGAGGGCTTTCTTTCCCTCAGACTACGCCTGCCCTCTGGCAGTTAAAAAAGATGGGATTCCTGTAGGAAGGGGCCTGTAAAACCTGAAGTCACCACGTCCAGAAAGACTTGGCCCTGCTGACCACCTAAGCTTCAATTCCAGAAAGCGAGCTCCCTGGTGGGGAGAGACTCTGGGAAAGTGAATCTCTCCCCAGGGGGTAACTAACCCCCTCCATCTCCGGGGATCTTGGGCCTGCATGCACACGTGCCCAGTGTGTTTCAAGCCACTGGGTCTGGGATTCGACGGGCCCGACCAGGTGGCCCCTGGGTTTTTGTTAAAATTGAGAACTGCAGATGGCAGCGCTTACTACGCAGTGTTTAATTGCTTTATGACAGAAGGGAAAAATTTGCACTCAGGTGAATGCCATTATGCCAGCTTCACAGCGGAGGGGAGTACGGAGAGGTGGAGTCCTCTAAGGCCACGCAGCTGGTGAAGCGGCGGAGCCGGTCTATGAGTTCGAGCTGAGTCGGGCACACGGGGCGGGGGACGGTGCTCAGGTCCCACGTCGGCCCGGAACCCCAGTCGGGGCCTGCACCGTGACGCCGCGGGGGGTGTCCTAGCGCGACGACTCCCACTTCCGCTCCCGAGTCCCCCGCAGAGAGGGGCGTCGCCTACGTGGCACGCAGCCCTCCCTAGCCACGCTGGCCACCCCAAGGCGGGGCCATCCTCGCGCTCCGCCCAGGCCTAGCCAGCCGCCGAGAGGAATCCCCGCCCGGCCCACTCGGGGTGCGCACACACTCGCCGAGCGCGTGGAGGCTGGCCAGCACGAGTAGCGCCGCCCGCTTCCTCGGAGGCGGCGTCATCGCGAAGGGATCCCGCCGTTATCGCGAGCACACAAGCAGCCTCGCACGGAATTCGCACAAGGCCCGGGTCACTGCGCGAGAGCAGCCCCGCCCCCGCCCGCTCTGCGCACGCGCGTCCGCGCGACGGTGCAGCGCAGGGACGCTGTGCGGAGGCGCCCTTCCCCTCCCCCGAAGGGCGTGCTACCGCACTTCCGGCTCCCACTTCCGGTCCTGCGCATTTCCCTTTCCGGCGAAGAGCGGGAACTGTCAGACCTTTTGGGGTCGGATTCGGCGGAGTCTGTGGAACCTCCCGGGCCGGAGGCGAGGCGGCAGACGGGCGCGCTGCCACTGCCTGCACTGTCGCCGGGTCCGGTCCTCACGGCGGCGGGGGGGCCGGCGGCGGGGGGACGCGACCTCGGAGCGCTCCCGACCCGCTAGCCCCGAGGGCGCCTGGTGCTGTGCGCCGCGGGCGCGCCGTGGCCTCCAGGCTGCCCAGTTTGTCTGTCACCTGGGAGGGGGCATAAGGGAGCTGTACACTGTGTTGGGCGACTCGGCCTGTCGGCCGCGTTCGGTCATCGCCACGTCTCTGCAGATGAGGGACTTGGCTTGTGTGCTAACGATGGAACCAGGAGCCCGCGGGTGGCGAGGTTAAGGCGCCTGGGTCCACCAGGCCGACTGCACGGGTCAGGTCGAAAACGCGCCGGGCGCGTGTGTGTGCCCCAAATCCTGAGCGGGTGGAGGAGGCGTTGTGGCATGGCCGTCCCACTTTCCCTCCCTCCTGTCTCTCCAGGGAGTGTATGTACCCTGTGGCTAAAGAAATAAATGACGAGACAGGTTTAGAGAGGCGACGTTTTTTTTTTTGTTTTTGAAGAGGTTTTTGCTATAGGGTGCGTGTGTTCGCCAGAGAGACAGAAACAGAAAGCGAGAAATCACCCCCCTACGGGGGATGGCCACACCGCCATCCCTGCTCGGTTCTCCTCTCGGGATCTTGGCGTGAGTTTTAAGCCACCGGGTCCGGGACGCATACCACGGTCAACTACGTGGGAGTCCAGCGACATAGCCATTACGCTAACTGCTGGTTCCCATGAGTCAAAATATTTTGTACCAAAATAAAATCATGTTTTTATTTCCATTTTCCAGGGCCAGTAGGTTATATGGTGATTAAGGTGCTGGATTCCCACGTGGCTGACCACGGTTCAAGTCCCAGACCTGGTAGCTTGCTTTCTCATTCACTCTCTCTCTCTTCCCTCTCTCTCTTTCTGGTGAGCACACAAACCCTGTAGAAAATTAAAAAGAAAAGAAAATGATAAATAATTCTTGGAAAATAAATTTGAAAAAAAAATTCCATTTTCTCATGAATTACAATGTCTTTTTGTTTGTTTGTTTGTTTCCCTTTGTATGCTATGGAGTGTGTGTGCTTACCAGAGAGAGACAAAGAGAGCGGGAAGGTGAAAATTTACTCACCCTGGGGCCAGCAGGCGGCCTGTTGGTTAAGAGTGCTGGACTCCCACATGGCCGACCACAGTTCAAGTACTGGACCTGGACCTGGTGGCTTGCTTTCTCTTTCTCTCTCTCCCCTCTGTCCCTCTCTGGTCAAATTTAAATAAATAAATAAAATAAATAAAGTTTAATAAAGTAATTAAAGAAAAGAAAACTACTCTGGGGAGGTGCCCATGCTGTAGTCACTTTTCTTGAGATTTGGGACGCACATGCACATGCACCCAGCGTGAGTTCCAGGCCACTAGGTCCAGGACTTGAACCTCACAGTTGGACATGTGGCATCCAGCCACCTTACCTTCCACACCATCTGCTAGTTCCATCTCTTCGTACTTTCTTGTGTGCTTTCTGAAAGGCACATGTACTTGCCAGAGAGGTAAAGTGAGAAGTCACCCCCATAAGGAGTGGCCATGCTTCAGTTCCTTCTCTATCCTTCTGCAAGGATTTTGGGCATGCACACGCACACGCACCCAGCTTTGATTCTCAAGCAGCTAAGTCCAGGATTTGAACCATGAAGCAGGATATATGGGATCTAGCACCTTAACCTTCATGCCACCTGCTCACCCCATCTCTTTGTTAATTTTATTATTTTTTTCATAGAGGATATTTGCACTCACCAGAGAACAGAGAGAGAGGAGAAAAAGCAGCTCTCCATAGGGTGGGTCATAGCACAGTCTCTTCTCATTTACCCACCCTGCCTTGCCCGATCCGCGGCACGCAGGTACACGTCTAATGTGTGAAATAAGACCCTCATGTAAGTCCATTCTTTGCGCTGCCTTCCCAAACCCTGCCGGCAGGGAACAGACAGCTATGATGCTGGTGGTGAGTATAAACCCAGACACAGAGCAGCAGCTAGGCTGAAGAGAGGGATCGCAGAGTGTCTTGCGGTGGTGATGACACAAGTAGTGTTTGCAGAAGGCGTGGGAGCCGGGTGTCAGTGGCAGGGACATGCTGGCGTAGAGGTGTTACCTCGAGGAGGGAAGAGTGTCAGTCACTGGATTTGGGCATCTTTCAATTCTGTTGTCATTGCCGTTAACAGAGCAGTGTGAGCAGTCTGCTTGCAACTGTGTCTTGTAAACTTTTCACTAAAGTAAATGGGCAAAAAAAAGTTTTTTTTTTTTTTGGAGAGATTTTCACTATAGGGTGCGTGCGCTCGCCAGACAGACAGAGACATAGACAGAAAGCGAGAAATCACCCCCCCAGGGGGGATGGTCACGCCACAATCCCTTCTCCTACATTCTCCTCTCAGGATCTTGGGCACGCACGCACATGCGCCCGGCGTGAGTTTTAAGCCACCGGGTCTGGGATGCGAACCGCGGTCGACTACATGGGAGTCCAGCGACATAGCCATTACGCTAACTGCTGGTTCCCAAAAAAGGTATTTTAACATTGGCATTTTTCTTTTTTTCTTTCTTCTCAGGCTCGAAATGCAGAAAAGGCCATGTAAGTATCAACTAATTTTGGGCTGCCAATTTTTTTTTAAATAATTATTTTATTTACCTTTATTTATTTATTTTAATTTGACCAGAGAGGGAGAGAGCGAGAGAGAGGGAGATGAAGTGAGAAAGCGAGACAGCAAGCTGTCCCCCTCAGCACTCTTTGAGTTTGGCCCTTTGGGTATATGAGCTTTTTGAGAGCCGATTCTTTCTCTGACTTTGTCTTTCATTTTGGCAGTGGGCACATGTGCTTGCTAGAAGGAGGGTGAGAGGGAAAAGAAGAGCCCCTTCATCTCCTCCTGTGGGGAATGCTCATATGCTAATTCCTTCTCTCCTTTCCCCTCCTTTTGGGATTTTGGGCATGCACATGTGGACATGGCGCTGGTGTGTTTTGCGAGATGCTGAATCTGGGACTCCAACTATGCCGTTGGCCATGTGGGATCCATCCACCCCACCCGTCACGCCACAGGATAGCTGGAGAGCTGTTTTACTCTAGACGTGTTAAAATAGCATTCTGGGACTAACCATCTGTGCAGTGGTTAAGGCAGCTGGAGCCATGTGGCTGGCTGAATAGTTCAAGTCCCGGACCCGAGGCCTTGTTAAACATACCAGGCACATGCATGTGCGTGCTCAGAATCCCAAGAGGAGAATGGGGGAGAAGGGATTGCTGCAAGGCTATTCCCTCCAGAGGGGAGTAATCTTTTTCCTCTCTCCCTAACCCTCCATCTCCAGTGAGCACACACATCTTGTAGCAAAACCTTAAAAAAAAAAAAAAAAAAAAAAGCATTCCAGGGACCAGTAGGTGATATGGGGGTTAAAGTGGCTGTTTCCCATGTGGTCAACTTTGTGGTTTGAGTCCCGAACCTGGTAGCTTGAAAAAATCATGCTTAGCACGCGTGCATGTGTGCCCAAAATCCTGAGAGGAGGGAGGAGAAGGGACTGTGGTGTGGCAATACCCCCTGAGGAGTGATTTTTCACTTCCTTTCCTCTCTCTGTCTTTAGCAAGCACTCACCCTAGAGCAAAGACTGTTAAAAAAAAAAATTGCATTTCCACATTTTCCCATTTGTTTTCTATGTTAGTATTTTTTTAAAGAATTATTTTTAAATTAAACCTTATTTATTTACTTACTTATTTAAATTTGACCAGAGAGGGACAGAATGAGAGAGAAGGAAAGTGAGAAAGCAAGCCTCCAGGTCCAGGACTCAAACCATGGTCAGTCACGTGGGAATCCAGCACCCTTAACTACCACACCACCTGTTGGCCCAGTATTTTCTTAGATAAATTTTTGCTATAGGGCGTATACGCTTGCTGGAGAGACAGAAAAAGACAGAAAGTGAGAAATCACTCCCCCCCCCCCCCCCGGGGGGGGTGGGCCGCGCCACA